GAGACTCTGTCTCAAAAAAACAAAACAAAACAAAACAAAAATGTCTGATCTTCAGAAACCTAAATCCAAATACAGTAAAAATGGAGTATGGGAATGTAATACACAAAATCTGGCTTAATTATCATCTAAATACCTAAAAACACTGGATACATTGCTGATGGGAATGTAAAATGGTACAGCTTCTCTGGAAAACAGGCAGTTTCTTATTCAACTAAAACATGCAATTACCAAATGACCCAACATTTGCACTCTTAGGCATTTATCTCAGAGAAATGAAAATTTATGTTCACACAAAAACATGTACACAAATGTTCATAGAAGCTTTATTCATACTAGCCAAAACTGAAAACAACCTAGATGTTCTTCATAGGCAATGGTCAAAAATAGTTACAGTTAAACAAATTTTGTTACTCCCCTACCATGTAATAGTACTCAGCAATAAAAGTGAACAAACCTGATACGCGTAACAACTTCAGTGAATCTCCAGGAATTATGCTGAGTGAAGACAGACAATCTCAAAAGGTTATACATTATATGATTCCATTTATATAACAGTCTTGAAATGACATTATAGAACTGGAAAATAGGTTAGTGGCTGCCAGGGGCTAGGGGTGGGGGGAAGCAGAGAGGGTAAGACGGGGAAGTTGGTGTCATCATAAAAGGGCAACACAAAGAACACTTGTGATAGAAATACTCTGCATCTTGACTGTGGTGGTTGGATACACAAAGCTATGCATGAGATAAAATTGCATAGAACTGAATACACACACACACACACACAAAACTGAGGAAATCTGACAAGATGTACGGATTGTATCAATATCCCGGCTGTGATTATACTGTACCTTGCAAGATGTTATCTCAAAAGGGAAATGGGTACATGGGATGTTTCTGTATTGTTTCTTATAATTGCATATAAATCTATAATTATCTCAAAACAAAAAGTTTTATTAAAAAACTATAAGTTTTACTTGGTATCTATTCCTTTATCAGACCATCGATTATAAAGAGAACTAATTAATTCAACAAATATTTACAATGCTAGATGCTAAGGATACAGCAATGAACAAGGCAGATAAAACCGTCTGCCCCAGGGAGCTTGTATTTTGGTGTCCAGGAGACAATGAATAAAGAAGAAAAATACAAACTATGTTAGCTGGTTAGATGTCAGAGAGAAAATAAAGCACACAAGGAGGATGGGGGTAGGGCAGGGTAGTTATTTTAAATAGGGTAGTCAGAGAAGGCCTGACCGATATGGAGGACATTTGAGACATGAAGGAGAAAAAGGAGCAAGCCACATCTTCAAGGAAAATATTGTAGGCCAAGGAAACATCCAGTTCAAGGGCCTGTCCTGAGGCAGGAGCATGTCTGGCACATTTGAGGAAAGACATGAGAGCCAATGAAGCTGGAGCCAAATAGGCAAGGCAGAGCCCCCGGTTAGAGGGGCCAGGTCAGGTAGGGCCTCATGGGCCACTGCCGCAATCTTGGCTTTTGAGTGAGATGGGACACCACTGGAAGGTTTTAAACTGAGAAATGTCACAATGTGACTTATGTTTTGCCAAGATTACTCTGGCTGCTGGGTTAAGAATAGGTAAGGGAGTGGCAGTGGGCAAAAGATGGGAGATCAGAAAGAAGGCTACTGCAAAATCCAACGAAAGACAGTTACGTGGATCAAGGGAAATGACCTGTGTAGATAGATGTCATTATGTTGCTGCACATTTGGACCTTGACAGGTAATGCCAAATCAAACTTGCACCACATTAAAACTCTACAAAATGTTAGTCTTTGTTTTGTTACTTTGGACAAAGCTAAGACTTTAGGTTGTACAAACCTTATCTTGTGACCCAGAGGGCGTCTCTTCTAGTGTCTCGGTGCTTCCCAGATTGGAGAGCTGAGTGCTTGGCTGTAACCCAGGGCTGGAGATATTTGAGTCACCCAGCTGATTCTTAAAAAAATTAAAAGAAAAAGTATCATGTGAAAGAAGTTTACTGTCTATTATTTGGCTCACAAAACAGCATTTAAGGTTATCAGAAATGCTATTTTTTAAAAACTAAGCAAAAAATCCCCCCAAATGCTTGCTTTGGGCTCTCAAGTAAATAACTTATACAATAAAACTTCTAGAAGGCTGAGCCCCTAATTTTAGGAAACGGTGTTAGCCACAATTGTTACTTTTATATTTGTGTTCCTACCACCACAATAAGGATTAAAAACAGTTACCATTACGCCAATAAACTCCCTTGCGCTATCCAGTTGTCACGCCCTCCCTCCACTCCTGGTAACCAGGTCTGTTCTCTCTCACTACAGTGTTGTCCTTTCAAAAATGGAATATAAGTAGAATGCTGGCTTCTTTCACTTAGCATAATGTCTTTGAGATTCATCCAAACTGGCTGTATGTGTTCATTCCTTTTTATTGCAGAGTAGTATTCCATTATATGAATACATTACCATTTGTTTAACCATTCACCTGTAGAAGTACATTTGTGTTGTTCCCATTTTTTGGTGATTATGAATACAGCTTCTGTAAACCTTCATATAGGTTTCTGAGTGGACAAAAGTTTCATTTCTTTAGGGTAAATACCTAGGAGTGGTATTTCTGGATCATATGTAAATATATTTTCCTTCTAATAGTTTTATATTTTACATTTAGATCTATGATCCATTTTGAGTTGATTTTTGTATAAGATGTTAGGTCGAGGCAGGGTTTTTTTTTTTTTTTTGTATATGGACATCCAATTGTTCCAACATCATTTAAATTCCTGTTACCATGCATATGACACAAAAAGTGAAAATATTTTGTTCTTAAAAAGAATCCTCAAGGTCGGGTGTGGTGGCTCACGCCTGTAATCCTAGCACTCTGGGAGGCTGAGGCAGGAGGATCGCTTGAGGTCAGGAGTTCGAGACCAGCCTCAGTAAGAGTGAGACCCCCGTCTCTACTAAAAATAGAAATGAGCTGGGCAACTAAAAATAGAAAAAAAAAAATTAGCCGGGTGT